AAGGATGCGCCACACAATAATAATACAAACAACATAGATCAAAAGAAAAAATATAAGTAGAGAACGGATAAAGAACTTCATCTGGAAGGAAAACAGTCATGCTTAACAAGTTCAAACAGTATTCGTTAACTATCATCGGGAAGGGAAGAAAGAAGGAAATTGCAACACGTGTAATAGCACGTGATAAGTTTCATTGATTGTTTGTTGCTTCATTCAATTCATTGTGTAAGGGCTGAGATACTTCCCGGGCGCTCAGACGGAAGAAGGTGGTTTTATTAAGGGACCATCCCCCGAACATTTGACTTGGAGTCTAATCTGCAAGGCAGCGGAGCAGCGTCAGCAGCTGCATTCCATGGTTTCGGTGACCAATATGGGTTCACACGCCATTTGATCCGATTGGATTTTGGAGCCCATGTACCCCATGGTAACTGCTTTTAGTTTCACCGCTATCCAAACAACCTTCCTGACATAGTAGGACTTGCAGGGACAGAGTTCCAGTCAGTTTAGCATGTTGGGTCATTACGGTATTCAAGCCCGACCACCACGACAAGGTAGCAGTTATCGGTCGGGTCCATTAGTTAACATAGTCAATCAAATGTGTATAGGGTGCATAGTCAGTCAGGAAAAATGTGATGAAGTGTGAATGAACAATTGGGTGATATAGTGTTGTTTTATAGTCAACAGAATACAAGTGTCCTTGGAGTAAGAGAAATGCGATAACCAAAAATACATATCAATACACATTAACAAAGGAGGTACTGAATGTGAGGGTTGACCGATAATGTCTAATGATAAAATAATGAGGCTAAATTGTAATAAGATGCTACAGAATTGGTAGGCTTAGTATAAAATCATAAAGGTTGACAATGAGGTGAAATAAACTGGGTGGAGAAATGGGTAATAAAGACATGATTTCACAAAATGTTAATAATGATAATAATAGTACGAAAAATTATGATCCTGGTGACCTTATAGTGGGCCAAGGTAGACAAAAGGAGTGAATAAATTTTCTGACTAACACCCTATACACATTTAATTGACTATGTTAACTAATGGACTATCATCTCAACTTACACAGATGAACCCAATACATTTTCTGATATTATTATTTTCATTTGCCTTTATTGGCTGGCTATATGTACTCTATTATTCATGGAATTATAACTGTAGAGCCTGAAGAAGAAGAAGTTATCGAAACCACAATTGTTCGCTCAAAATCTTGTTTTGATTTCAAGAGTTAGTTTGAAGCAATTTGATTTGTTTGTTTCAAGTTTGAATAGGGAATACTGTCAGTCAGAGAACCACAGAAAACCATTAGAGAGAGTACTGGACAGTTGTTTCATCTTAGTACGTGGCTATTCAATAGTATGCACCCGTCGGGGTTCGAACCCAGGGCCTTCAGGTTACAATAGCCCATGAATTCTGACTTCTACTAATTCGTAGTTTTAGCGTAACCAACAGCCAACATCATCGACAGGTGTTGGATGAAGAATTCCAAATTAGGACGAAACAGATGTCCAGTACTCTCTAGTTTTCAACATTTCTCTAACAAACATAAACTTGTGATCAAATTTGGATCAATTTCATCATAATTTCAGATAAATTTTACTAGAATCTCAACTACAATATATATAAAATAGAAAAAAGAACCTTTAATTCAATTTAGATTTTCCCATCGATTGATTGGACCTAAGTGCTCGGTCTAAGGTTGACATGTCGGCTCTTGTGCAGATGCTTAAACAATTTCTGGTTATGTAATTTGAAGTTTATTGATTGATGGTGAGTAGCAGTGGATGACGGGAACCAACATGTCAACCTGAGACCGAACACTTCGGTCCAATCAATTGACAGGAAAATTTAAAATTGAATTAAATGATTCATAAACCCGTTGTACAAGAGGTGGCTCTCATGGTCCAATTGGTCTACTGGATAACGCTTTGGCGTTTGAAACTACGGACACTGGGTTCGAGCTTCAGTGGAAACACCATCATCACTCACTGGGGAATGCAGGTACGTCCGACTGGTGGACAAGTCCCAAACAGGACGAAATACGTGTTATCCTGGATTCCACTGCTAGTCACCACCACCAACCAGTTGAATTTAAGAAAAAAGTACCAAAAATGTGAATTTAATGAAAAAGACCCAGTATGTACTCTGTGTAATCACTCATTTCTGATTGTCTGTGTGTGTGTGTGCATATTTACACTGACATAAAAAGAGAATATAATACTTGTCTAGCCTGTCAGCTATTCTATCTATTTGCCCTGCCCATTTACTTTTTTTGTCTCAGCATGTACAAAAATGTATTGCTTAGACACAACAACTGTTAATAAGTTGTTCTGAAATGAATACTAATCTTTTTTTCGAAAAATGGTCGACTTTACAAATGATGCAATTACATCATATGATCAACAGGCATACATTTGCGATATGTATATGGACGCCTCTTTCCCTTCTCTCTCTCTCTCTCTCTGTACATACACTCGTATTTGCGATTTTTGTACACTACCCACACCAACTCTCCTTCCTACAATGTATGGTATAACTTCAGACAGAAATAATTATTAACCATTTTTTAAATAATATTCAATTAAATATCAATCAATATATTGATTTTGCGTAATTAATTTCGAGAATGAGATAGACATGATAATTCATGTACAAAACTAGGTCACAGTAGATTGTCTAGTTTATACGGATTCATAACTGTGCACGTGTGTATTGATGTCAACATGAATGGTCTCTGGGATGTAACCAGAGTTATGTGTTAACTGAATCCTATCAGACAAGTTAGGAGATTTGACAATGTGATAGTCTTTGGATTAATATTGACTATTATTATTATTATTAACCAGCTTGTTAATATTCTGGTAGACAAGCACTTGGACTCATGTGAAAAATTGGCTAAATCCATTCTATCTATCTAACTCACACCACCCTCTACATTCACAACTCTCCCCCCTTGTATCTCATCAGACAGAACCAGAAGCCTATATAGAAAATTATGTCCTCGCACTAGCAAGTACAAAAACTCAACTGAACCATACCCTACTTAGCTCGTGTTCTGTGCGATGAAGAAAGCATTCGGTGTGATACCTATAACTTATTAAATAGTCAGTAGAACAATTGGATCTCGTCTTTCCAACTCATATCATTTATAGGTACAACGTTTTTCTTCCTTTCTTTTCATTTTCTCTCTCTCTTTTTCTCTGTTATGTGCTGTTTTGTTTCTCTCTTCCTTACAAACTCTATTTAAAACATTCTTCTTCGTTCTTTCACACTTTGTATATCTCGACCTTTTTGTCACCGCTTACGCCAGTAAATATGCTAGTATCTAATTTTCTAACACCAAACACTGTTCAATTTTGGCTTTGCTACTGACATGCTAATATGTTGTTGTCAAAACTAACTGAGATCACCTTAATCTATGTGGAATTTTATTTATTGATAATGTACTAACTGGATGCAATACTGTAGTAAAATGCAGAGAATTCCATTCTGTCACGTACTGTTTTGGAATAAAGCAAACTATTATTATTATTACTAGATGATTCGCTGCGACCACGACAGAATGACTTTAGATTCATTCACTTGGAACAAATACTAGAGACTAGACACATGATTAGTCAATGTAAACATTACAGATGCTTCGACGATGTCTGGTCATGTAACTTGAAGTTAACTCGTGGGTGGAATTCAGGAAGTGCTTCACTTCAATCAATCGACAGGAAAATCTAAATTGAATTAAATAATTAATATGACCCCGTTGCACAAGAGGTGGTTCTCTCGTGGACCAACCAAGTGGTCTACTAGATAACGCTTTGACGTCTTAAACTACAGACACTGGGTTCCACCAGCCTCTGTGAGAATACCACCACCCGCCAGGGAATGCAGGTACATCCGGCTGGTGGACGAGTCCCAAATAGGATGAAATGCGTGTTATCCTGAATTCCACTGCTAGTCATCATCCAACAATCGACTTCTATAAAATTAGTTTTCGTCCGCTTATTTGTTTTACACTTACAACAGTTGTATTTATTTTTATATATTATCATGTTTTGTAATTTCTTCTCTTTCGGCTGAAATTTATTATTATTATTGCTCCCTTGGGTTCCTAGTGGAACATAGGGCTTCAACTGCACGTCTCCATTTTCTTCTGTCTTCTGCTATACTTTTCGCCTACATCCATGTTAATCCATATTCTTTCAACTCCTCTTCACACGATCTCCTCCATGTCACCCTCGGACGTCCCACACGGCTGAAATACGTTGTGGAAATACAGGATCAAACCTTGTTCCTTATAACCAGTCTGGGCAACAAGGGAGTATCGTCAACCCCCCCACAATACGTATGTCTCATGCACAGTGTGGTATAGCTTAAAACTCTGCTCCATCGAAGTTAAATTTTCCGTTACTGTGTTTAACAAGCCAACCGATGGGAATATGCTACGTCTATTTAATAAGTGAATTTCAGGCGCCACGGATGAGGGGATGTCAAAATCCAGATTCAGAAAAGCAAGGCAGACATTAATCTCGAGTCAGTGTGGAAATCTGCTGAACTGAGCATAAATAACAAAATTCAGATTTCCACTACTCATATCAAGTGAGTGCTGCTACACGTGGTTCTGAGACTTAGTGATTTACGAAAACGATTTCTAACGGGCTACCGAAAACTTTCATGAACAACTATCTTCACTCCATACTGAAGACCAGATGACAGGTTTGCCAGAAAGAAATTCTGGCAATGAACGAACCATCCAAGAATCTGTTACTCAACAAACATGTCGAAGAAAAATGGAAATGGATGAGACACGCTTTGAGGAGACTATTGGTTGATATCGTGCGCCAGGCAAAGGCTTGAGTGGAACTAGAATGGAAAAAGACGAAATGAGCGTTTATCCGACGGTGACATGGAGGAGATCGTGTGGCGAAGAGGAGATAAGAGGTTATGAGCAACCCGAAACCCAAGGGAATAATAATTATACTGCAAAATAAACTTACCAACTTTTTCAGGAAGACCATCAGCACTAAACAGGTATAAATCATGAACAATACGTTTTTCATTTGAATTTAACCGATATGTTCCACGTAGAGTTTTCTTGATTCTTTTCTTAAACTGAAGTTTTGGTTTCAGCGGATTCGATCTGGGATTCTCAACAGATTGTTGATGCAAACAAGTAGTATCTCCGTCCGTAGTTGTCATTACATTGCTTTCATTGTTACCAGTGTCAATGTTAGGATTGCCATCGTCGTTAGATGTTTTCTTCAGACGACTTTTAGACCGTTTCACCTTTTTCTGTCGAAGATAACCAATACGATGATTTGATGACGATGTTACTGACTGCTCTCGAGAACGTTTACCAAATTTATTTTTTGATGATGATGATTTTCGATTACCATTGCCACCGGCGGCATCACCATTTACTGCTGACCAGTCTAAATCACGTATATCACCACGTTGACGTGAATAATTTCGCATAGTGATTGTTAGATCCGGTTCAGATGAAGCTAAGCGTAGAGTTGACTTACTTTCATTTTTAGGAGTAGTTGTAGAAGTATTTGAATCAAACGACATCCGTGTATAATCCTTTGCATTTTCCGCATTACCTAAATGTAAATTTAAAATGAAAATATGTTAACTGTCAAAAGCAAAATCTTCATTTGAGGATCATATTACACATACAGTGATTTAGTGTGAAAAAGAAATCGACTCAAGAGTTATACCAGCTGTGCCATAACCGCTAATACAATCCCGATGGTTAGGATACCGATACAAAATGCAAAATAGGAGCCCGCGATGGATTGATTAATGGACTGCATCTCCATTCTTTTTAGATAGAAAACAACATAATACTGATACCTAATATACAGGGATGTTACTCAACATCAACCACTTGCATTTGAATACAGTTAACAATGAGTTACATTACATGTGTAATGGTTAACTAAAGTATGTAAAGGCGCGGATAAAATGGAGAGTCTTCTGAACACCTTGAAAAGGATTGTTATTCTGTTTGACATGCCATTCGCCCTTGTCAAATGTAAGATTATGCTGAAGAACTGATCGACAGAGACTCCTAGCTTGAAAATAGGGAGTGAAGTGGTACAGTGTGTTAACCATTCCACTGATTTTGGAATTTGCATCAGGCCTAAAGATATGATTGCCGGTGAGACCTCAGCACATATACAAAAGGCTTGTGAAGTATTTTCCAGCTTATGTCATCTCTGGCGTAGACGTAATATCTTACTATCGGTCAAAGGACGTGTATGCTGTGCAGTCGCTGCAAGTGGAAGACTTGAAGAAACTAGTTGTCTTTGATCATATATGATAGGGTTCTCTACCCACCATATTACGTAGTATAGTAAAGTAGTACTGAGGTTAGGTGTAGAGTGTAAACTAAGGTGGGTAAATCAGTCGATTAGGTTGTGAAGCTACATAGATTGAGATAGCTAGGATATGTGCCGCGTATGTCGAGCCACCTCCTTCTTATACAAACAATGTTACCTGACGTAGAACTACGTGGGGAGGAGTTATGGGTGGTCAAATCCAAGCCTGGAATAAACCTATGAGATCTCTGAGAGTTTATTCAAGCTATGGTAAGGAGGTGTGTACTACCCAAGTTGGGGTCTTGTAGACGTAAAGAACCTGCGGCTTTACATTGTAAGCCATATGGTTGAAAGTTGTTGTTAATGACACAGATACATTCACTTTCTCTGGTCTTCTAGATCGATTAATTTCTCATTATTCTCCATGGAATTATTGTCCTGCAGATTTCCGTTTATTAGTTTCTTTTCACTTCTTTTCTGGCTTTATGTGCACTTTATGGAGTGTATCAACTTGAAGTGCCTCATTTTTTTTTTACAAAGTTCATCGTTGAAAAGCCGAGACAGTTAATTTTCAAAGCCTAGTCGACGTAGTGGAGCCTAAACTAATGAGTCACAGCTTCCAATAAACGCAAGGTTGACAGCAAAAGAATACACCACATTGAGAAGTCAAAACAATAAGTGGTGTGTAGTCACCACCTTTTACAATAAACATTATAAAGCTCCTTAGATAACCTGCGAGTAAATTGGATTATGTTATACACTGACGAAGAGAAAATGAAAGTCAAAGAAGCAGTCATGAGCAGATGTACTAGCCGGCCCATATTTATCTACGTCATGAACTGGTAAAACAGTCGACCAATTTGATCCCAAATTTACAGTCGTATAACGAGCTGCACTTAACGGAATACCTAAAGCGATTTGATTCTAATTTCAACAATGAAACAATTGGAAATTTATCAGATAAAAGGAAAATAAGGTGAAAGCGACTGAACCCAGTGATATCCTTCCTCCTCAACACCCAACCACCCACCCACGAATATTTGAATGACAGCAGTTTGACGCTACTTACTTACAAATGCGATTAACACTCAAACTAAAACAAATAAAGTATCAGAACTATTGATCAATAGGAGACGTAGATAAAAGAAATCTACGAAATCAGACCGAATGCAAAAGGAGACCAACGAAAAAGAGAGTGTGGAATTCCTCAAATGTAATAACACCCTGCTCATGATAGAAAAATTCTCTATATCTAAGGCTTAAACATATATAACAAAGTAACATCAAATGTCACACGTAATGCGACATCAATGAAGCTATCAACGGAAACTATTCCTTTGAAGATAACAAAACTTTTGGAATCAAATCAGATAATCAATTCCACATTCACATAAGACACTAGCAAAATATGTTTTAAGGATGTCCTTTTGAAAGGACATTTCTTTGCACTTTATCATTATTTCCTTTAATTCCTAGAGGAACATAGGGATTCAGCCGCGCGTTTCCGTTGCGTTCGGTTCCCTGCCAACATTTTCACTCGGCTCCACGTCTGTCTACATGTTTTCATCTGCTCTTAGCATGACCTCCTCCACTCCAAGTCACCCGCTTCCCCTTCGGGTTCCACTCGAGGGCTTGTCTAGTGATGTCACTTGATGGTTTGTTTCCTCAGAATATGGCCAAACCACCTCCATTTCTTTCTGCATATTTGTTGTACAATCGGCTCCTGCTGGGTTGATTCGCTTATTGCCAGAGATCTCTGTTGCTGATCTTTTCTGGCCGGCCATCTGATCTTGAGTAGTATTGAGCGAAGACAGCTGTTGATGAAGGTCTGTAGTTTGTTTGAAGTGCCTTTCGTGAACCTCCACCAAATCTCTGATCTGTATGATAAATAGCACTGACTTCACACTGGAGTTGAAAATCCGGACTTCATTTTCCATGCTCAGTGCTGCTGACCTCCACATAGACTTGAAAGTAATGAAAGCCTGTCTTGCTTTTCCGATTCTTACTTGATATCCTCGTCAGTTCCGTCCGCCTGTAATTGAAACGATGCTTCACACGTAGTTGAAGGAGGTTGCCTCATTCAGATTCAGTTTCTCCCATTTATACTGGCTGATTGTTATCTGTTGTTGTTGTCCAGGAATCTTCATCACCACCTCTGTTTCCTCTATGTTTATCTGAAGTCCTATCTTTGATGCTTCTTCTGCTAGCTTGTTGCTTCACACTTGCATATCTTCCAGTTTGTGGGAAATCAGACATATATCATCGGCACTTTACAAATGATTATAGAGGAATAACGTGAATATAGATTACTTCAAGGAACTGCAAGAAATATTCATCTGAAATGAATTTCTGCAGAGATTTCTTTGACAAGAACATCAAACTGAAAATTCGTGTCAAAAAAAGAGTTCTCTCTAGGCTTCAAGGGAGATCTAGTTTGTGATATCCTTAAGAGAACAACATTCTTGGCAAAAACTCTCAGATTTGAGTCATTCAGTTGTTCAACAAATTATGGAAGACTAAAAGACGACGTCTCACATATCTGACGACTTCTATATGCATATAGATATATGAGTCTACAAGTTTCTGTGGAGCCAGGCATATTGATGGTGGTTCTGTAAGGAGTGCGATGATTGAACAACTTGTCAACACTGATCATTCTCTGTCTCAACATACACTCCTCCTTCAAAGTAATCTACAAAGTGTAAACTGACCTCCCAGAGATCACCTCTTTGGCAATGTGACAACTCTTGCAATCCAGATGGAGAAATCGAGACTGAGCACATGAGAGAGAACTCTTCAAACACTTATACTATCACAGTTATGTTCTTACTGTTTGGAATCAATACATTTTTAACTTTTCTTGGCTTTTTTCATTCCATATAGGCTCTTGAGCAATATCGTATTCCACTAGCCCCATTTGCATACTGGTTACATCTCATTCACTAAATTATTGATCATCTCATTGCGCAACTCGATTGCCTTTGTTCAACTTGTTATACGTATTGATTAATATTAGGAGCTGTGATTATGTCAATTCATTTCTTTTGTTACTATCCTCAACTAAAGAAGATGAATTCGCCGAAAACAGCTCTTTCACGGAACTACTCGTTTGGTTTTTCATTGAAAAAAGATGTATGCAAGTGACCACTAACCAAAAAACTAGGGATTATAAGGTCAATACATACCTCAAAAGTTTAGTTTCAGTGTGATTTCCCTTCAAATATACTACTAATATGTGCTAATAAGTAGTACAAAGAAAGATGTGAATTAGTTTTATACTAGTTATCATTTTTTTAACTGTATAAAACAGAAATTTAACTTACTATCGCCTACATCATTATTATTGTTGTTATTATTATCATTGTTATTCATTATGCATTGTGTAGGCATATTTGATGTACTAGGTGCTTGTGTATTTAATCGAGGTTGACGTGCTGATGGTCTACGAAATACTTTTGGATTAGGTAGATCAGCGACTGCCTCAGCCAGCAGATTTAATGCTGTCAAAACACAATGTAGATATAAGACAGGCATACAAAATCATTAATTTGTATGTATTTTGGGGATGGGGGTTGGTATATATATATATATATATATATTATATATAATATATATATATATATATATATATATATATATACAAGTATATGAGGACAAAGTAACATCAAGAGCTCATTTACCCTTCATCTTCAAGAAAAAAACACTTGACTGACCCCTTTTCAGTAGGGTCCCACTCAAAGACGTGATGTTACTCGACGGCCTCCTTCAACGCATTTATATCTAATTCATCTCTTATTCATTCTGCATAGTTGTTGGACAATAGGTTCTTGACTAGTTAACCATCAGAGTTCCTTGTTGCTTATTATCCCTTCTTGGCATATTCGGTATCGAAGCAACGAAGTGGGCAGGTGCTGATGACAGACTAAAGACTATTAGAAATGCTCTGAACCATATAGAATCAATGACTTGGTAAAAGTGTTGAAAATTCAGTCTTTTTCCTTGTTCTAAATGCTGTGAATCTATCTGTACACTGATTTTTACATCAATAATGTTATCAAATACTATACTCCCTTAATAGTTTCATTTACGTGCAGCTGCGGCGGCAAGTACATTGGAAGGATAGAAAGAAGGGCTTCTAACCGGTTTTCATGGCATGTCTTAAGGAACCTTTGCCTAAAAGGAAGCAGATATTTACAAAATGTAGTTATCAGACAACCTTGTGGATACCCAGCATTTCGTAGAGATTTCTAAATCCTTCAAAATGTTAAACATACAAAGAACAGCGAATTTACTACGACTTTCTGAAGCAATTGCAATCAAACGTCTCAGACCAAACTTATGCACACAGAAAGAGAGTGTAGTCAATCACTCACTCCTTTGGTAACCGTATCGCTTTCATTACACTGACTAGTCATACACATTAGTGAGCTCAGCTCACTAAGCAAGTTTTCAATTTGTTGAACTTTAACCTTTTTGAGTTGCCGTGCTGACGTACAGGCTAACACTGTTTTTCTATAGATATTTCTGTTTTCTCTCACCCCCTTTTTTCATAGTTTGAAAGCACATCAATTGATGATGACTTAAACTGAAGACTGTAATGCTTATATTCCGGATGCGTTCATCTTATATTGCTTTCTCTATTACCTTTCAAATATTGAAGTATGAAATGTCATTATTTATAACCATTGTAATTTCAGGCAGTGGTTTGCAGCAGCTGATGAGAAGCTGTGAAATAGAATGATATCATTTCATACTGTATATCTGGTCTTTCTTTCTCTGTCAAAATTTATCAAGAGAACCAAATGTATGAAGTTTCATTTATATATATGTAAACAGTTGACTAGATTACATCTCAATGTAACAGATACGTCGTATTCAATTTGTTGTGAAAGGAAACTACGTGTTATATAGACTAGGCAATCCTACAACAACTATTTGTATAAAAATTAACGTCTAGTCAATAACAATACATCAAATAATACCATTATCAAAAAAAAATCTATTTACTCATAAAACATTTGTGCTATTGAAACGTTGAACAATAAGGAATTGCACAATCACTTTTCAAAATAAAGCACAAATCAAATATTGTTAAATAGAGATGGATGGATGGATGAATACCCGTACAAATAGCATAACACGATTAGAAAAAAAAGGCAGTTTAACACTCTACATCTTCTTGTAAACAACATTTGTCAATTTTTCATTTGTTTTAATACTCTGTTTTATCTAAGCCCGCGCTTTTTGATGTGTACAGATGTATTTAAACAACTGTTTGCGTGTATTTATGTGCAGCCGCTCACTCACGTACACGCACGCACGCACAGTTTCATGTCCATTAATTAAGAAAGTGAAATTTTTAGATGGTTAGAGTTGATAAGTTCACGTTCATACACACACACACACACACAAATGCACATTACCACACACAAAATTTAACCAAACGAAACCCCTGTTTAGTTACACAGATATTAGAACATGATTGAAAGAGAAGAGTAGTGTACACAATATAAAAAAATTATACATAAGATATTAAATTAAAATGATGAATACTTTTAATCTAATCCAATTGAATTAATTCAATGAAATATAGTAAATGTTTCAATATAAACTAAGGTGAAAAATAGAGGCAAATTTTTTAGAAAAATGACGCATAGTTTTAACAAACACTTGGAAGAATGATCATGCTGAGTTGAACTGTTCGTCTAGAAAGTAATACATCTGATATATATATATATATATATATATATATATATATATATATATATATATATTACAAACATTGGTGTAGTGTAATTAAGAAATACTTGCCTTTTCGGAATATTTGCTTTCTTTATAAGGTTGAATTACAACGAATTAAAGAACAGGTATAACAAAAATTGAAGTATAAAATTTTTCCCTACCTGTGGATTTTTGAAGACAGATGAATATACAGGGCTGATGAAGAGCTGAAATCAGTTACAGAACCACTGAAAACCAGAAGGCAATATTGGACAACTGTTTCGTACTAGTATGGGACTCATCGGCAGTACGTGCCCACTGGGGTTCGAACCCATGATACAGCTGTAATGAGGCGACTTCCTAGACCATTCAGTCATTGGAGAACTATAGGCGAGCAACTTCCCTCTTGACTGACTTGAGAGACCTCACCAACTACAACTCCTCACTAGAGATCTAGGCAACTTCCTGTAAACAGCCAGTCCCTATATATATCATGAACAGGAGTTGAAATTCGTAGACCATTGGGTCGAAACCCAGCCGCTGGATGGAATATGAACAAGCCTTGTAACCAAAAAGTCTTAGTTTCGGAACGCAGTGAGTGTGCATAGCTGAAGAATCCCGAACTAGGACAAAACAACTGCCTAGTATTCCCTGCCTTCCTAATAGTTCACTATCTGGTGTCAGATCGTGATCAATATTGCAATCAGTCAAATCCCTGAAAACTGACACTTGATAAATGAATATACAACAACAAAATACGAATGGGAAAGAAATATTCAACTTAAATCTATTCTAAATTAGTGAAATAGTTACGTTATTATTTATAATTATTATTTCTTTGGATTCCGAGTGGAATATAGGACTTCAACAATACATCCTCACTTTGTTCTATTCTCTACCGTCCTCTTCAGTTGACTAGTTCTACGATTGACCATTATTTCTCTTTCCCTCCTCGCTACACGATCTTCTCTATGTCACCCTCTCACTGACGACCCAATCGTCGCTTCCCATCCGAACTCCACTCGAGCCATGGCCTACATTGCGCGCGATGTCATTCGATGGCCTCCTCAACGTATGCCCAAGCAATCCTTATCCATTTCCTCCTACATATTTATTTTGAGCAATCGGCTCCAGATTGGTTATTTCATCCCCAGCCAGAGTTTCCTGTTACTAATTCTTTCTGGCCTGCCGGCGAGCCATTTGATTCCCAGTATGAAGCCAGAGAAGCGGGCAGCTGTTGTTGATAAAAGCCTTAAACTTGTTGGAAATACTTTTTTCGTGACTGACACACAGTGCAAGTGTATATGATCCATTGAGAAGAAGTGACTAACTGACTGACTGACTTCACATTGTGGTGTTGAACAGAATCCGAATCTTGTTCTTCATGCTGGCTGACTGGATGCAGAAGATTTCCAAACTGGTTTCAGGTTGATGAAGGCGTGCGTATCTTGCTTGTCTTTCCGATTTTGACTGACCGGCTGACTGGCTTTGACATCTTCCCCATGCTGTCCTACTGTCTGTGGTTGAAACTATGCTTCCTAGTCTCATAAGTGAAGGAAGTAACCTCTGTTAAATCTCTCCTGTGGATAGTGATCAATGCTGGCTGTTGTCAATGTTGGTTGGTGGTTGGTTATCTTCATCACCTCGCTTTTGTTTATGTCCACCTGGAGTCTTGTCTCCGTTAATACCTTAATATTGAGTGTTTATAATTTTTCCTTCACGTTCCAGTGGAACATAGGGCTTCCAGCTGCTAGTGGCTTGAAGTTTCTGTAGCAGTGTTTAATTTTTACAGGATGGGGTTGCTAGGCTCATGCCCAACCTTTCCTCTTTACCAGTATTATTTCTGGCTCAGTGAGGTAAAGGAGTGCGCCGGCCGGGGATCGAACCCCGGACCATATGCATGGTCGGCAAGCGTGCTAACCGCTATACCACCGACGCACATATTGAGTGTTAGTAGGAGATAAAATATAAGAGAAAAACGTAATTTGGAAGGATTTCGCAATCACGAACACTCATCAGAAGTAGTGATAATATAGTGTGGTCTAATTACCACCCGGTTTGAGTGAACGCCCTTTGTACGACAGTTGGAAACAGAGCATTCCTGATGCGACAGGCAGCATACAGCAGCAGCATGAAATCATGAAAATTCAATTATATATATATATATATATATATATATATATATATATATTTAAAGTATGAAGCCTAGTAAATAGCATTATGAAGCAACATTTATTGTCACAGACACTAGGAAGAGATCTCTGAAGATGTCCAAATACATACCACATAAAAACGTTATTAGTCATAATATTACTTTGATCAATACGCTACAATATATAAGCTTCGTGTTAAAATTATTTCGCAAACCAATTTTGTATGCTTTCTGAAAAAAGAGATTTTAATCTGTGAGTAGTGAATAGTTCAATAGTGAAATCAAATATTTTTAGCTATTTTATATCGTATACATTGATACTACATTATCATTCTAGAATTTCCCGTGTATACAGGATTGCTATTGAGTCATTATAAATAATTCAGTGACTAACTTCTCTTCCTAACTAACCTAACTAGATTCCTTTCACAGTGTTGTAACCCAAACTTACCCTACTGTATGTTTGTATGATAGACCAAACAGATTAGCGATTTTGTAAGACGAACAAGATTAGAGATATTTGGTTGTATAATTTACTGAATTTCAAAGTTTTATAAAATTGCCTCGAGAAGGAATGATTTTTAATACAAGGTGTTACATACGACGATAATTTTGCACCTAAGGTTA